TTTTTAGACTTTTGTCCAGCTAGATTCAAAATCCAGCCACACTGTGCAACGATCATGGAACGAAGTTGGATTCTGCCTGGAAGAGGAGACAGGAGTGGCCCAGTGAAGATGTAAATAGACTCCAGCGGGAGAAGGACGGATCGCAGCGGCCCTGACTTTAAAGGCTAGGAGGTCTATAACCTCGCTCCGGCCACCTGTTCCTCTTCGGTACCTGTACCAGTCTACTGGGGGTCCTGCCGATCTACGGGGTATCGGGGTGGCCAAGTCAATGGTCTAGTTATGGTTCTTAGGTCGCATTTAGACATTACCTAATCATGATGCGAGCACGACCGTGTGAAATGTGTGTATTGCTTGGCTCGCAACCCGAGCCCCTGGTAGATCATTTCAATTTTTGGGCAAAGGTTAAAGATAGCTTTCGGAAAGCCCTACATATGTTCTAGTGTTGCTTGATATTTCAATAGATATTCATGTTTTTTTTTTTTAATATCAGTACTTCTTAAATCACCTCTGGCGGATCTACGAGGAAGAAGTTTCGGGCTAAAATTCCCACCATATATATATATATATATATATATATATATATATATATATTTTAAATATAATCGCATAAAGAAAATTAAAAGCTTTTTTTGGCCTTCAACGACCACTTAAATATTAATTTATATGCTTCTTAGTTTTTCCCCGAAATAATTACGTTGTCAAAAAAATATATCTATTTACACTTAGGTTTATGCCTCACAGGTTATTATAATAAAAATAAAAAATTAATTTGTAATAATTATTTATTGTACGTTTCGGAGAATCTGTGTATTCTCCCTACAAAATATTGAGTTATCTAACATTTTTTGGGAGAATAAAATATTGCTGAGTAGGTTGAGACGAAATTCCCGAAACTTACTTAATTATTTATTGATAATTATCCGAAGTTAATTTTGATTTTTATTATACTGACCTGTTAGGCATAAACTTAAGTGTAAATAGACATTCTAATATAGAGGTCAAACATTTTAAATACTCTAAAAATATATATATATATTTTAAAAAATTAAACTTAAAATAATTTACTAAAAACCTTCATCTGACAAGAAATATTCATAAATAAAAATTAATTTATGAATTTTTGTTTTTCGAGAACTGGGGGAATTAACAACGTATTTTTTATTTTATGAATCATATTGTTCTTTTATTTTTTGCTAAATGCCTTAAACAAAGGTGATAAGTTTCAAATTAATTTTATTCACTGAGAGTTCAAGTCAAAACAATAAACAAATGTTTTGTATGTAACATTGCTGGCTCTGTTAATTTCTGGAATTCCCTTCCTATCAAAATTCGGCATCCCCCCCCCTCCCTATCTACATTTAAAACCCCCCTATTCCAATTCCTGTCCCAAAAACAGTCAGATACTCGCTAACCTTTTATGTAAAATTAGACATTATTTATAATGATGTATTTACATATAATTCATCACTTAAATACTTACAATCAGATTCGACTTTCTTATTTCTATTTTTTTCAACAGAAACACAGAGTTTACTGCTAAGAAGAATGTAATCTGTTTTTCATTTAATTTTTTTCTAAAAGTGTATATTTCTATTTTACCATTGCACATAGCTTTAAGTGTCTTGGTTTCAATTGTTATAGATTTTTTAAAAATTTTGTATATAGTCATCCTTACGCCTACAACCTTCTCCAGTTCAAATCCCCATCCATATCCACATTCAACACCCTCCTATTCCATTTCCTATTCCAAAAACAGTCAGATAGTTGCTAACCATTCGAGCTGATTTTAATAGAGAATTTGATACATTTTTATTTTTTATTATTTTGTTTAAAGTGTATACTGGTCTATCAGTGCAAATAGCTTTAAGTATCTTGTCATAGTGTTAATTGTTTTGTATATAGTTTCGTTTGTTTTGTATATAGAATTTTTACCTTATATTTTTTTCTTACATTTTTTCTTTTTTTCGATTGATTTTATTTTGGCCAGATGTAATCTTTTAATTTGTTCTATTTTGTTATTCTCAAGGGACTGTGTCCCAGAATAAAGTTATTTTTCTATTCTATTCTATTCTAGTATGTTTAACTAATATTTTCATTACTTATTTCTCTTTATTTTTACTTTTTATGTTTATTGTTATTTGGGCCAGACATAATATTTTAATTTTGTAATTTTTTGTTATTCTAAAGGGACTTTGTCAGAGAATATAATTATTTTCTATTCTATTATATTCTAACATAAAATAAAATTACACCCATAGTTTGAAACTCTACCGCCTTAGGTAAGTGCCCCATTTTCTGATTCTCGAAAGCCATGATTAATCTTTAATGTATTGCCATACATGCAATGAAAATAATTATAGTTTTTTTTTTTTTAAATAATCATTCCTCTATGTTTTAGGTAAATTCGAAAAAAAAAATTGTTTTCTTCCTCTTCTTGTTGACAAGTATGTCTGGATTTAAAAATAAAATAAATTTTGGTTCATTGGGCCACGGCCGATAACCCACATCAAGGGGTTAAGAAGCTCGGTCGTGATAAAGCGCGACAAACAATAGTTCACAGGCCGGTGATAGATAGCGCTCGTGACTCCCGGTCCCCAGAAATAATCACAGCCAATCCCATTGTTTTCCCCCGCTTGTTGGGAGATTGGGTATCTGCTCGTTAGGGTTCGAACAATAGCTGGCGAGTGGTCTTTTTAATTCGGCCTCTTAGCCTCGTAAATATACTCTGTTCGGTTTATCGGCCTGGTGTCGCCGATTCGGATCTTTACCGGGTTCCCCGGCAAGGAGTGGGCGAATGGTGTATAGGTATATCGAAACTTCCAATCGATTAAAATAAATTTCGGTCGGCTTTTCTTTTATAATTTCTATTTCCTGGTCCTTTAATTGAGATCATTATCATCCCCGTTTTAAATTAACTCGATTTTAAGGAGCGTTTACACAAGCTCAAGGGTGTAAATAACAAGTGGCAAGATGGCTAAATATCAAAGACCCCGTCCTATAGCCGGTTTACACATTTCAAAAATATTATAAAAAGCGTGTTTACACGTTTCTTTATTTCAAGAAAAACAACCATAGTGGATGTTGGGAATCATATTTCGCCTATGCTACTGTAATTTCAAAAAGAATGCGTAAAATTCGTAATAGAAGATAGAATTATTTTATCTGTCATGCACCACATTTTGTAAACAATTGTGTATAAGTAACACTAGCTTGTATCCAAATTCCGATTTCTCTCGATAAACCGACATCAGAGAAGTCGGTCAATGAGGAAAAAATATACTAGCCTTGAGAAACAACCTATTTACACGTTCGTGTTTCCTACAGTTTGTAAAATGTCTAAACATGCCTTTAAGTTTTTTAAGTAATTGATGTCTATGCAATAATGCTCTTTTATGATATTTTTTTTATTCCGGCAACCAGATAAACAGTTACTAGCGATTAAAAAAGTAGGAGTTCGCGCCCCAGTGCCGGAAGGGATTAAAAATAAAGAAGGGGAGGACAAAAATAAAATAAATAAATAACTGATTTGATCTTGCAAGCAATCTTGAGAAAATGAAACATGAGTACTATCATAAGCCCAGACTTTCGATTTCGGGCGAGGGGGCGTGTTTTTATCATAAGTAAAATTTTATCAAAATTATTAAAAAAACAAACCAATATAATATTTAGTATTTTTAATGAATTTGTTTACATGTTTGTATATTTTTTTTACTTATTATATATACTTGTAATTAGCTTTAAAAAAAAATACAATTGCATATGTAATGTATTTGTTTATATTAAACTCACTGGTCAGGGAGACAGCCTTCATGATATTGATACATTTATAGAAATTTTTCAGTTAAGAATGAACAATGTGAAAAAATGAAAAACTTTGATTTCTTTGTGTGTACGAATTAAAAATAGAACGTTTCTCACAGTCCGACTAATTATTCCACTAGCGGATCCAGGATTTAATTTTCTGGGGGCTTCAGCCCGGAAGCTTTTTTTTTCATATATATATATAACGATAATTACTTTGGAAAAACAGAAAGATACTAACTACCTATATGAAATGTTGTTTTAGTGATTCTTGAAGTCCTATTAAATGTAATTAAACGAGCACTAATACTTTAAGACATAATTTTTTTAAATATTTTTTACCATAAAACATGGTTACATTTTACCATTTTGGGGTGGACTTCACCCCGAAAGCCCCCTCCTCCCCCCGTAAATCTGCCTGTGAGTTATTCGCGGAAAATGTGATAAGAATATCACGCGATAATATAGGAATGATTGAATAATATAATCCTAGAATATGTTGATATATATTATTATCTTTGAATATAAATGACAATTTAAATTAAGGTAACATTTAGGTATCGATAAAATAGTTACATATCTACTAGTAGGCACTAGCCTAACCAGCTAGACGACTTTTCTTAATCGATTTTAGTTTACACATTTTATTCATTCATGTAGCTTATCTATTATTGATTTTACTTTTTTTGTCTCAAATAACTCGAGGAGGGGGGGAGAGGTCGAAACAATATTCTCGACTTCTCAACATTTTTATTGGGGGCGATCGCTCCCTCGTCTCGGACCATCCTCGGGTGACCTCTGACTTTGATTCCAAATTTGAAAAAAAAAATAGTTCTAGTAGTCTCAGAGAAAAGCTGCGGACGGATATAATTTTTTTTTTATACGATTTTGGAATTTTACGTATCGTGAAACGTAAAACCTCAAATTTTGATAGTTTTTTATTTTCCGGACGATTCTAATGGTTCATTATTGAAAATAATAAAACAAAATTATTTTTATATTATGTAGGCCTCAGATCGCAAGTCCCACTTAGATCCTCTATTATCTTTAAGGACTTCAACTGCTCCTTAAGGACTCCTTACAGTGCGATGCCCTTCGCCGGCCCTCCGACCACAGAGCGGTCACCACAGCACACCCCGCCTCGCCAAACAGATCACAATCCTTCATTGTTCTTAGTCCTCAACCTCGGTGAATACTGATCAGACTCCTTCCGTCTCATTGTGTTTCATGCGCTCATCCTGAGAACAATGATCTGGCGCATGCCTCGCTTCGCGTTCCCACGCCTCTCCTTCCTCCTCGTTCGGGTGTCCGTCCTCGAGTGGATGCGACATGATCGATCGGCGGTGTTCTTGAGGAGAGTCCTTTGAGGATGGTGATGGTGATTGAGTGCTGGAGGTCTAAGGACTTTGTCATATTTAGACTATATCTGGTCTCAACGCCGCAGTGATAGCATATGAATACAGTAATTTGTTCCTCGTATTAAATTATATTAAATAAAATTAAAGTCATGGATCTCCCTAAGGTAAAACGCTCATTATCCGGAGGTAAACTAGTCCCCCGTTCGGGTCTCCGGGTGGGGACTGCTTTAGGGGATTCATGGTGCAAGTTGAAATATAGTGGGCTTGTAAAGTTGTTGGGCTTAGTAACGAGAGAATTCCTAAAAGGTTAATATTTGCTGTGCCGAATGGTAAGCGTCCGAGGGGTAGACCGAAGCGAAGGTGGGAAGATTGCATTAAAGCCGATCTGAAGGGACTGGGTTTGGACGGCGAACGGTGGAGGGAGGTGTGTAACAAGCGATTGGTGGTGTCGGCATCGAACCTTCGGGTTCGCTAAGCCTTATTATTATTATTATTATTATTATTATATTAAATTATATGTCAAGAAGACATAATAATAATATATAAGCAAAATTTGAATGGATAGAAGAATCATAGTTTAATTTTTTTTTAATATATAGATAGATAGATAGATAAAAAATAAACTTTATTCTGGGACGAGGTCTCTTATGAGTAACAGCTATGAACAAAAAAAAATTAAAACTACATCTAGCCAAAAATTATATTAATCAATATTAACACTAAACATACCATAACGGGTCAAATGACTCATTTTGAACTTTTCCATTGAAAATGCACGTATAATTTTATTGCGTTTGCACATTTGACTTCATGACTTTTTCTAAGTAATTAATGTACAGTTATAAAAATATTTTTGTTTTGTTTTGTTTTGTTTATTCTGAGTAATCCTTGTATGTATACCTATATCTACCACAACAGGTCATTTAACCCGGAGAGAATTTTTTTGTTTTATGAGATTATCTAGTCATATTTGTAGTCAGTAAGTTGCACATTCTTCCAAAGACTGTTGCGTAAAGTAGTTCAACGAAAATAGCTCAGAATAATTTCAAGAAAATATCAAATTTTATATTGAAAATAGATTTTTAGTGTAAGAAAAAGTGGCAAAAATTGAAAGTCTTGGTAAGTACCTAGCTTATATTTTATTTTGATAGCTATAGTAATACAGATTATTTTTTTACCCAGAAAAATGTCGAAGCAAACAAGACAGTACAAGTTCTTAGAAGATATAAATAATATTGGCGAAGAGTTTTCAGAAATTAGTAGAAATTAGAAGATATATCGGTTGCAAATAAAAATGAATTTGATTCTACAGATACTGACGATGAAGAGGAAAATATTGTGAATGTATGTAGTGGCCGAAAAAGAATAAGATTACTCACAAGTTCGGAAGAAAGTGAAGTAGAAATAAATGAAGAAAATGTTGCGAATGATGGATCTGTTTGGCAACAAATGCAAGTAGGTGGCACACCTGGAAGAGCACCACTGCGATGAACTATGAATTAAAAGTTTTTATTTTTTGCTTTTGTAATAGAAATGCTCAACATACTATTTTGTTTAATCATAATAAATTTAATTTATATTTTTATTTCCTTCCTAACATCCATATTTCATACATTCAAGCATGAAACATAAAGTCGGGTCATTTGACCCGCTATGGTAGAAATAGGTATATATTAAGTCTTGGTATGATTAGTGTTAAAGAATACATACAGTATCTTCAGTAAAAGTATATTAAAACAAGTATGGCGGAACTGGGATGTCAGGGGCTGTTTTCTTGTGTTTTCTTGTGTTTTCTCTCAAGGTCTGATGAAGTTCAGAGATGAAATCATGGAAAAAATAAGAAACCATCACGCATCCAAGGACATCGACAGAGTGTTAAACTCTAAATCAAACCCAAGATATAGAAAAATCTGCTCCTTTAATGTTACCAGACCAGAGGATTATCTTCAGTTCAGGGCTCTGAATTTAAACAAATTAAGAGCCGTTAGTCGTCTCAGAGTAGCAAGTAAAGATTTTATGAAAATATACTTAAAAGATGCTACTTTGACTATTAAATCTAGTGAGGTATGTGGTGCATGCAACTGCCTTGTAACTGACCCGGTAACTCATTTTCTGATCCAATGTATCAAGTTCAACGAGCCAAGAATAAGTACTTGAAGGCATTTATCACTGAATCCAGAGAAGATGCTAGTGTGGAGGAGATACTGAAAATAGACACTACGAAAAAAATAAACCAACTGTATTATTTCATACAGGGCTGTTCATTGAACTGTTAAGTGGTATAGTTAATCGTATAACATATATTAATGCTTATTTATATTGTCATTTCTCTTATACCTCTTGAATATTTAAAAAAAAAATTATTATTGAAAAAAAAAGTTTTACTAATTGTTATATATAATATATAATATATATAATATATATATATATATCGTTTACTAATCTGTTATTATATTAGTCATACTTAATGCTGTGGACATTGTTAATGTTATGTTTGAATGCAGTACTAGACTCAAGATCTAACATTGTTAATTATGCCATTATATTTATTTGTACAGGAATTTCCTTCGGCAAATAAAATAAACTATCCATCTATCTATCTATCTTTATTAAAACAAATAAAAATACACCATTTTGAAAAACAAAAAAAAAACATAATTTAAATGAAAAAAAAAAAAAAATATAAGCATGGGTTGATTTTTAGAATTAAAACTCAATCAATTTTAACAACCATTCAACTCAGTCAAAATTTGTTTCGCAATATTTATTTCATTGTATACCGTCATTTTGGGATGTTAGTAGGAATTGGTAGAGATGATATTTAAATGAGGACAAGGAAGAGTCATAGCGGATATCAGATGGCAAGGAATTCCAGAAAGCAGTGGATCGGGCAATAAAGGAATATTCAAATGTCTTAGTTCTATGGGAAGGGAGATAAAGGTCGGAAACACGGGATCTTGTTTTCTGGGAGTGCACTGTAGGAGACTGTAGGAGACTGTAGATTTAGGAAGGGTGTCGGGTGTTGATCGTTTGGAATAGGAAAGATACAAGGAAATATTGTCTGCCGAAAGAAGGGAAGAGCCACTTTAACTTATGGTAGAGGTGGGACACATGTACCGAACACAAATCTTAAGCAGGAATTCATGTATATATAAACTTCTATAATAATAATTCTACTTATAATTATTGCCTCTCTTAACCTTTGGTTTTTGTTCTCTCGTTTTAGCCTATACGAGGTTTTCCCGGGCCATCGGTTAGGGCTGGAGATTAATGCCAAAGTGAAAACCCGTTCTCGGATAAGCATTTTTCTTTTTCCTTCAGTTTCCAATTATCATATTGTTTTGAACTTCATATTTAGCCATTTTTTTTTATAGTTACTGTTCAATAAAAGAGAGTTATTTTTTTAAAATAAACCATATTAAAATTTTTTAAAGAAGACGTATATGAACATCGGGCATTTAAGCCCAGTAAAGTGACATCAATGGAGATAACACCTAAATGATATTAAAGACCACTTAATTATACAATGATACACCGAGTTTAATCAAAATCGTTAGAGCCGTTTTTGAGAAAATTGTGAAAATGTGTTTCAGCGTTGATATAAAGTGGCACCTCCAATTAGCCGATTTTACGGAAAAGCTTGCTGTCACACCTAAGGCATATATGTATCTTAAATACGTAATATCAGTTTCGTACGACTTTTCGTTTTCGAGCTAGACTGTTCACATACACACAGACCATTTTTCGGGACTTTTTTATTCGGACTCAAGAGACATCAAAACGTGTATTTCCGTTGAAAACTCAGATTAGAAAATTTCACGATCGCAATTACTATATATTAAACATAAGTACGTAATACATAAGTGAAAGTAAACGTCGTATTTGTGCATTGATTTAGTAACCTTGATCTTTGTTGGTTTGTGTTTTTTTTCATTTGTAATTAAAATAAAATACAATAGACAATAGAATTGTGTTTTATGTTCACACTAATAAAGCGCTTCCACATATTTATTTTGAAAAAAAAATATATACTTCAATTGAAATTGGTTATGCAATGTAATTTTTCCACCTTAGCTCACACTCGTTCGGTTATTGTAGAGTATTGTGGCCGCTCTATGAGAAATCTCACTCGTTTTCAAACTGATTGTTACTTTATCAGTTAATATTTCTCATAATTATTTGTTAATTGTGAGAGTTTTCAGTTTCAAATTGGTTCTGAATTTTTCTTCTTTTTTTTCTATTATAATTTTTCTTGGCTAACTCTATAGCTTTGTTCGGAGCTGAAAATAGAGTTAATAGTGACCGTCCTTCTAGACCCTAATGTGAGATCCCTCAAACAATAAAAATTGCTTTATTTTTCCTCTTCAGTTATTAATATGAGAATTTTGTAATGGTATCCTTAAAGTTTCCTATGTTAAAATTTGTCTGAATTTGTACATGACAGATTTCACAAAACTTAAAGGCTCACTAACAAAAACCTATATGTTGGTGGATTGCAGTCATTTTAGTCATATTAAAATAATAATAAAAGGCTTAGCGAATCCAAAGTTTTGCACACCTTCCTCCACCGTTCGCCGTCCAAACCCAGTCCCTTCAGATCGGCTTTAACGCAATCTTCCCACCTTCGCTTCGGTCTATCCCTCGGGCTTTTACCAATCGGTACGGCAAATACTATTTTTTTTAGGAATTCTTTAAATGCCCAATGTTTATATATATCTTCCTCTAAAGTACCTTTAATATGGTTTATTTTAAAAATTTAACCAATTCGCATTATAAGGAGTTACGAAAAAATGCTACATATAACTTTTGAAAGAATTTGATAAGTTAATAAAGGGGGAAAAAAATGCAGAAAAACCTGCGTTTCTACAGACTGTAGCGCCTAAACGATTTCAATGAAACTTCGCTAAAGTCATCTTCTCGATACCCTTTAAATGTATCTATATAACATACTTCAACGAAAAGAAGCTGGAAACAAAGTTAAGAGGGATGTTAAAATTAAATTCCGAATAACTCAAAAAGTATACGCTTTTT